GCGACGCACCGCCCCTCACTGGCGCACAATGTATCGCATCAGAAGGACTTAATTTTTTTTTTAATGTTTTCAATGGAAGACTTTATAATCTTTTTTTTAGGGGTTACAAATCTGGACGTGATCAGCGGAAAATGTGAAATGTAATTATAATAATATAACAAAGCGACCAAATCCAACATGAAGCTGCGTGACTGACGGGGAGCCACTAGGGGGCGACTCTACCGGCTGCTGAAATACCGCCATCAATGTATAGAACAGCGAGGAGAATATATGTCAGAATAATGCTACAAAATAACACGAAAAATACAATATTCCTTCTCTTTATATCTTCATTTCCACTAAATGTTACAAATGCTATGGAGGGTTAGGTACCCCCGCTGTGCCCATTATGAGGAGCTCCCACCATCCCTATGCTGAGTGCCCGGGTCTGTACCCCCGCTGTGCCCATTATGAGGAGCTCCCACCATCCCTATGCTGAGTGCCCGGGTCTGTACCCCCGCTGTGCCCATTATGAGGAGCTCCCACCATCCCTATGCTGAGTGCCCGGGTCTGTACCCCCGCTGTGCCCATTATGAGGAGCTCCCACCATCCCTATGCTGAGTGCCCGGGTCTGTACCCCCGCTGTGCCCATTATGAGGAGCTCCCACCATCCCTATGCTGAGTGCCCGGGTCTGTACCCCCGCTGTGCCCATTATGAGGAGCTCCCACCATCCCTATGCTGAGTGCCCGGGTCTGTACCCCCGCTGTGCCCATTATGAGGAGCTCCCACCATCCCTATGCTGAGTGCCCGGGTCTGTACCCCCGCTGTGCCCATTATGAGGAGCTCCCACCATCCCTATGCTGAGTGCCCGGGTCTGTACCCCCGCTGTGCCCATTATGAGGAGCTCCCACCATCCCTATGCTGAGTGCCCGGGTCTGTACCCCCGCTGTGCCCATTATGAGGAGCTCCCACCATCCCTATGCTGAGTGCCCGGGTCTGTACCCCCGCTGTGCCCATTATGAGGAGCTCCCACCATCCCTATGCTGAGTGCCCGGGTCTGTACCCCCGCTGTGCCCATTATGAGGAGCTCCCACCATCCCTATGCTGAGTGCCCGGGTCTGTACCCCCGCTGTGCCCATTATGAGGAGCTCCCACCATCCCTATGCTGAGTGCCCGGGTCTGTACCCCCGCTGTGCCCATTATGAGGAGCTCCCACCATCCCTATGCTGAGTGCCCGGGTCTGTACCCCCGCTGTGCCCATTATGAGGAGCTCCCACCATCCCTATGCTGAGTGCCCGGGTCTGTACCCCCGCTGTGCCCATTATGAGGAGCTCCCACCATCCCTATGCTGAGTGCCCGGGTCTGTACCCCCGCTGTGCCCATTATGAGGAGCTCCCACCATCCCTATGCTGAGTGCCCGGGTCTGTACCCCCGCTGTGCCCATTATGAGGAGCTCCCACCATCCCTATGCTGAGTGCCCGGGTCTGTACCCCCGCTGTGCCCATTATGAGGAGCTCCCACCATCCCTATGCTGAGTGCCCGGGTCTGTACCCCCGCTGTGCCCATTATGAGGAGCTCCCACCATCCCTATGCTGAGTGCCCGGGTCTGTACCCCCGCTGTGCCCATTATGAGGAGCTCCCACCATCCCTATGCTGAGTGCCCGGGTCTGTACCCCCGCTGTGCCCATTATGAGGAGCCCCCACCATCCCTGTGCTGGATTTGAATGGGGGATTTAGGACACGGAAAGGTAGACAGGGATTTCGGAGTCTGGGGCTCTAGGGCGGACTAAGCACACCCGGCTCCGCCCAGGACGAGAATAGCCGCTTTGGTTGGAACGATTTGTTTATTTGGAGATACCAAAGTGATAAAAACCACAAAATGTGGGCGGAGCCGAATGATTTGCGGTATAATTAGGTGGTTCGGGACGATGAATAAGCTCCCGGGCCGCAATTATCCCGATTAACAACATCTGTCACTCCGCGTATAATTTATGAGGATTATTCGCCTTCGCTGACTCACCGCCGAGCCAATTCCATCCATAATCATGTGATGACGCGGCGACTGACTCGGAATGAACGCGATGCCGGTGAGTGACGCAGCGAATAAACGATTGCCGCCTCTGCAGGACGCGTTCTCCGGGATTCCAGTCTCTCTCCGTGCAAAATGTGTCTAGTTGCACCCGGGGAGGGGGAGGGGGAGTTTTTATTGCTTTATGGCTCAAATATTGGGATAAAAATGCCTTTTTTAAAGAAAAAAAGTGCCATTGCGGGTCCAATGATAGCTGAAAACTACAGTCACATGACAGTCACATGACACAGTGACTACAGACCCCCTCACCCTTGGGTGTTGTAGCTTTGTGAATTGAGTCCCTCGCGTCTCTGCTGGTGGAAGTAAAACGCCATTTTGACCTTGATGGTAAAAGGTCAAGCTTGGCTCCTCCCACTCCCATCGAGCCGCCCTATTGGTCGATGAGGACGTCCATTAGAGGATCTCGTATAACGTAGATTGTCCTTCATGTGAAGGTTTTCACCCAACGCGTTTCTTGGTACAAAGTCCGCGTTGTCAAGGACTCCCGTCACGGAATCTTACGTCGGGGGCCCCATGACGGGTCACTTTGTAGCAGGTCGCTAAACGTTGAAGGAGTATCATAGATCGACCCCTTAAAGGGGACACCCCCCCAAACATAAGACCGGAGCCCCGCACGAGGGAGGACTTGGGGGGTAAAGTTGGCTTCCACTTGGGAGGACCACCCACCTAAGCGCAGCCACCGTCTGCCAAGTATTTCGGCGGTTGGCTCTCCAAATGGGACCCCAACTTGCCCGGCCTCCTTCCCATCTTTATTTTTGTGTTTTGGGTGCCGAGTTTGTACAAATCATAAATCCCCCCATTTGTGTCTATTGTGAGAACCCCAAAGATGCCCATTACTGGGAGGGACCAATAGGGAGGCTTATGGGGGGATTCCGACTTGTCCAGGAGCAATACATAAATTAAGCTTTGCATATGGCAGCCGACTATACCATCCTTCCTCCACCGGGGGGGCCTTGTGACCTCCTCAGGGGTGCCTTGTGACCGCCTCAGGGGTGCCTTGTGACCGCCTCAGGGGTGCCTTGTGACCTCCTCTGCTGTGCCTCGTGACCGCCTCAGGGGCGCCTCGTGACCGCCTCAGGGGTGCCTCGTGACCTCCTCAGGGGTGCCTCGTGACCTCCTCAGGGGTGCCTTGTGACCTCCTCTGCTGTGCCTCGTGACCGCCTCAGGGGCGCCTCGTGACCGCCTCAGGGGTGCCTCGTGACCTCCTCAGGGGTGCCTCGTGACCTTTTTTTTTCCCACCATCCCTGTGCTGAGTTCCCGGGTCTGTACCCCCGCTGTGCCCATTATGAGGAGCTCCCACCATCCCTATGCTGAGTGCCCGGGTCTGTACCCCCGCTGTGCCCATTATGAGGGGCCCCCACCATCCCTGTGCTGGATTTGAATGGGGGATTTAGGACACGGAAAGGTAGACAGGGATTTCGGAGTCTGGGGCTCTAGGGCGGACTAAGCACACCCGGCTCCGCCCAGGACGAGAATAGCCGCTTTGGTTGGAACGATTTGTTTATTTGGAGATACCAAAGTGATAAAAACCACAAAATGTGGGCGGAGCCGAATGATTTGCGGTATAATTAGGTGGTTCGGGACGATGAATAAGCTCCCGGGCCGCAATTATCCCGATTAACAACATCTGTCACTCCGCGTATAATTTATGAGGATTATTCGCCTTCGCTGACTCACCGCCGAGCCAATTCCATCCATAATCATGTGATGACGCGGCGACTGACTCGGAATGAACGCGATGCCGGTGAGTGACGCAGCGAATAAACGATTGCCGCCTCTGCAGGACGCGTTCTCCGGGATTCCAGTCTCTCTCCGTGCAAAATGTGTCTAGTTGCACCCGGGGAGGGGGAGGGGGAGTTTTTATTGCTTTATGGCTCAAATATTGGGATAAAAATGCCTTTTTTAAAGAAAAAAAGTGCCATTGCGGGTCCAATGATAGCTGAAAACTACAGTCACATGACAGTCACATGACACAGTGACTACAGACCCCCTCACCCTTGGGTGTTGTAGCTTTGTGAATTGAGTCCCTCGCGTCTCTGCTGGTGGAAGTAAAACGCCATTTTGACCTTGATGGTAAAAGGTCAAGCTTGGCTCCTCCCACTCCCATCGAGCCGCCCTATTGGTCGATGAGGACGTCCATTAGAGGATCTCGTATAACGTAGATTGTCCTTCATGTGAAGGTTTTCACCCAACGCGTTTCTTGGTACAAAGTCCGCGTTGTCAAGGACTCCCGTCACGGAATCTTACGTCGGGGGCCCCATGACGGGTCACTTTGTAGCAGGTCGCTAAACGTTGAAGGAGTATCATAGATCGACCCCTTAAAGGGGACACCCCCCCAAACATAAGACCGGAGCCCCGCACGAGGGAGGACTTGGGGGGTAAAGTTGGCTTCCACTTGGGAGGACCACCCACCTAAGCGCAGCCACCGTCTGCCAAGTATTTCGGCGGTTGGCTCTCCAAATGGGACCCCAACTTGCCCGGCCTCCTTCCCATCTTTATTTTTGTGTTTTGGGTGCCGAGTTTGTACAAATCATAAATCCCC